CTTTAAGCGAAATAATAGCGATTATGATTATTTGTTTACTTTTTATTTACCCACCCAGTAAATAAGAGGACACATTTTTTTTTTTTGGTCTCGAAATTTAAAAATTTGACATTTGGCTCCGTTGGGAGGGGGGGTAAGGTCACTTTTTTAGGTCAGCCATGGGAATAATTATTATTATTATTTTTTTTTTTTGTAAATATTTTTTTTTTTTTAATTAAAAAAACAAATCCAAAGGGGGGGGGGGGGGTGGGTTACACACATACAAATACCAAAGGGGGATTTAATCCCCCTCCCCCACTGTGTACGTGCCTGCCCTGGGGGCTGAAAGCCAACGGCTACGGATTACTACTTTTATTGTAAAACTTACGGTCTTCCCTAGCCCTGGGTGGATGCCATGCATGTTTGCAATCCGCACTGCTTGCAGATGCGTTATGAACGCCCTCTAAGGCCGAGTAATTGTAGCAGCAGACAGATCGTGCGCTACATCAACATCTTATGCCGATCCATATCCTCAAAAAAATGTGTTAGAAAAACAAATTTGAATATTTCAATATCTTCAGTGGAACTGGAAGAGAAAGAGATTTCAGAGATGAGTCTGAACGACCTTTTCATGCAGATACTTGAATCTGAACAGAAAGCAAGAGAGAGGAAAAGCATCTTGAATGAACGTGAGTGTTCGATTACAAAATACAAATAGGGTCTAGGCTACAAGTACAATCAGCCAACCCAATCCTACTCTGACTCGTTACCAAGTACCGTACCACCAGTAACCAGTGTCTATACTCTCCGGACGGCTGTGCCTGAGCAGTGCTTGGCAATGGCTGTCCTGTATTTTGTAATTTCATGGGGGTAGACTTGAATCTAGTATTAGTAGTAAAAATATAAACGTCCAATCTGTAGCAAAGGAAGTGCCTGATTCCGTGGGTGTGGACGTTCATAACATGTTAATCATGATCATGAGCAGTGGAGTTGAAACATATTTTAAAGCAATGACAATGTTATTAAAAATCTGGCCAATGTAATTTATCATGTTCTTTGTTACTTGGACTTGGAACTTAGATCTAATAAATCTACTTTTAATTAATAGGTCTAGAAATATCTATACATTTGTATGTTTTGGGTACCAACCTCTGTAGACTCAAATGGTCGAAAAAACATTGCTGCATTAGATCCAAGACTTGTAATTTATCAATGATCTAGAGTAGGGTCTAGATCGATCTACGCATTCATGTGGTGAGGCTCGTTAGATCTCAGTAATTTACCTGGATCTATGCATAACTTTATTTTATCTTTCAGTCCTGTAGACTTGCACGATTGTCTCCCTTGTTTTTACCTTAAGTAATGTTGTATAAACGGCAAACACATATTAACCACACCTCCAATTTTTTACCTGCTATTTAAAGGGGAAGTCCACCCTGATATTAAGTTCGTTTTTATAGAAGCAGAATAATGGCAGATCATTGATAAATTACAAGTCTAGGATCTAATGCAGGTCTGGGTCTAGATGCTGTAGACCTATTAAAGTGTAGCCTTATTCACGTTTTTTAATTGGTAGGAGATTGTTCTAGATGCATAAACACAGGTACAACTAGATTACCCCTTGGCAGTATACCTACATGTATGCCTCATTTAATAAACACCTTTCTAACAATTATTATATTATTTCATATAATTACAGTAAAAAGCAAGATATCATCTGTTAGACAACAACTTCAAGCAACTCGGACCAAGGTAAACATACTCCATAATGATGTAGCTTCCAAGGCAAGTAGTCTTTGAATTGATAATTCAATCCTGAGTTAAGATAGTAGATACATTTTTTAAGGTGGACAAGAAGCGGGCTCTTGACTGTTCAGACATTTAACAAAGTCTCTCTTGTACATGTCACCAAGCAAAGTCTCTCTTGTACATTTCACCAAGCAAAGTCTCTCTCCTACATTTCACCAAGGAAAGTCTCTCTTGTACATTTCACCAAGGAAAGTCTCTCGTACATTTCACCAAGCAAAGTCTCTCTTGTACATTTCACCAAGCAAAGTCTCTCTAGTACATTTCACCAAGCAAAGTCTCTAGTACATTTCACCAAGCAAAGTCTCTCTTGTACATTTCACCAAGCAAAGTCTCTCTTGTACATTTCACCAAGCAAAGTCTCTCGTACATTTCATCAAGCAAAGTCTCTCTTGTACATTTCACCAAGCAAAGTCTCTCTAGTACATTTCACCAAGCAAAGTCTCTAGTACATTTCACCAAGCAAAGTCTCTCTTGTACATTTCACCAAGCAAAGTCTCTCTTGTACATTTCACCAAGCAAAGTCTCTCTCTACATTTCACCAAGCAAAGTCTCTCTCGTACATTTCACCAAGCAAAGTCTCTCTTGTACATTTCACCAAGCAAAGTCTCTCTTGTAAATGTCACCAAGCAAAGTCCCTCTTGTACATTTCACCAAGCAAAGTCTCTCTAGTTCATTTCACCAAGCAAAGTCTCTCTAGTTCATTTCACCAAGCAAAGTCTCTCTATTACATTTCACCAAGCAAAGTCTCTCTAGTACATTTCACCAAGCAAAGTCTCTCTGGTACATTTCACCAGTGCAAGGCTACATACAGAGGCATCACATTGGAAATTGTAGGGATGTCAAAATAAAAGGGTTCTTGTCATTCAGAAGAGTCCATGTTGAGTATTAATACTGCTCAATATTACTGGCTTTCCTTTGTTATGTTTAAATAAAACTAGATACCAGCATATGGTGGGTTACTGGATTGACATTGTCGCCCTATAATGGAAGATGATCACATCTGACTTTGTTTGTTTTTATGTTATGTTTATTTGTTGCTGTATGATTCAAGCCACAGATAAAGAGCATGGAGGGGAAAAAACTTCTAAACGGGCTACAATATTATTCTATTATTCATTTACTTATATCTTTATCCTGTCATTTGCCTTGCCCCTCTCCCCCCCCCCCCCACAAAAAAAAACTGATGCTTTATGAGTTTACATCTCATACCAAATTTTTCACACTTTTGAGCAGGTCCAAGAACTATCTACAGAGGAGCTTGACTGCCAATGGATTGGCACAAAAGAAGCTATCCTTGAAGAACAACTAGCAGACCAAATGAAAGAAAAACAGATGTACAGCAAACAACTTGTAAGCTTCATTTATTTTGCCAATCATTTTACATTCCTATTACCAGTTACCACATCTTACTTCTGAATAAATACATACATGCACTCATAAATGTGATACTGAATGCCTTTTAGCACACCATACACGGACCATACATTTCAGGAAGATGTCTGAAATCAAAAGATTCTTGATTGATGTGATAATTTCCTTATTTTGTCTATGTTTTCTTTCTTTTTCTTTTCTTTTTATTGTTTGTTTGTTTGTTTTTGGTAGGAGAAGGGGGAAGGAAAATTTCATTGTCCAAATAGTAAATGAGGTTGATAATATGTGAATTTCTCTTGCTCCACCCCCCCCCCCTCACTCTTTCTGTCTCTCTTTCTCTCACTCGATCTTCATTTTGTTTTGTGCGCTCTGTATATATTTTCCCCCTTGTTTAAGATGTCTTATACCTCTTAATTATCCTACCCCCCCCCTCTCTCTCTCTCTCTCTGTATCAGTCATATATTTGTGCTTGCTCCAACTTTTTTGTCTCCGTTGTTATATTCCTTATCCTTCCTTATTAGCATCACAGCACGTCATCCCGAGACAAGATGAAAGAAGATTTCTTGTCCGATATTTCAGCCTTCATTCATGACTTTGGGTTGGCAAGCAGAGGCAAAGAAGAGAGGCTGACATCAGTCAAGGAACAATTGAAGGAGATGAAAATCAGACAACACAAGCTTCAAGAAGGTCCATATCCAATAGACCATTTACGTAATGTAATCAAATTTGATGCATAAATCTTTGATAATGAATTAAGTGCCTTGTTACAAATTATTTCAATCACCTGTTATAAATAATTGTATTTCAACAGGCAGAATGCAAAATTGCATACATACAGGGTAATAATAATAATATTCCGCTTATATAGGGCTTTATACAATGTCTCTAAGCGCTTTACAGATATCCTATTACCCCGGTCATTGGATCAGTGCTTGCCTTCAAATATAAATAATAAATAATAATAATATTTAATTTTTATATAGCGCTTAATACAAATGTCTCTAAGCGCTTTACTTTGTGCACAATCTCCACTCCCTGGGGAGCATTCCAGCCAGGTGTTACTTGACGCTCAAAGTGTTAGGTAGGACAAGCCATCATGTTTGTCCTATCAAACGCAGTAAAAAGTGTTAGGTAGGACAAGCCATCATGTTTGTCCTATCAAACGCAGTAAAATTGATATATGCAATTCGCATTCTGACAATTGTAATATAATTATTTATAACGCGTGAATGAAATAATTTGTAACCTGGCACTTAACAAAAATTTGTGCATTAAATTTGATTACATTATGAAAATGGCCTATTCAATTCTTACCTCAGAAATACGAGTAGTTCATTCAGTTTGTGACGTAAATTAAATGCTTAGCCAAATTTGGTATGACGTTGCATGCAGCTTTTGGCTAAGTATTTTACCCTAAGTTTAACGAAGTGTGGCGGCATATGCTTGGCATATGGTTTTCATATGCAGGTCCATAATACACTGTGTGTGGATGATCTGGATGGGATTTGAGCCATTTTACTTAGCTCAAAGTAAAAAAAAAAAACAATAATAATAACACATAATTCAATTATTGCAATAAATGGGTACCCAGATATTCAGACAAGAAGAAGTCAGATTACAACACGACAATTACCTACCTATTTTCTAATCCAGACGCGGTTTTATGACGCATCCAAAAGTTATTCGCCAATGACAGTTTGGCATTTTCTCCGATTGTGTAAAAAGAATCGTTTCAACAGCCATCGGAACCCACCATCATTCTTACATGTACATGTATAATTATGTGCTTTGCCTTCATTTATTTTTATTTGTCCAGACATTGACACCTATACCAAACAGAGAGACATGCTGAGATGTATTGAGAATGAGAAGAAAGCAACAGAGCAAGTAATAGCTACACTCAGAAATGAGTTACATGGTAAATCTGATTTACTGATTCTAATTAAAAAAGAAAAAAAATGATAACATGTGCCTTATTGTGTACAAATGATATTAATCTTAATTCTTAACCCCATTGGGTGGTATTCCGGTAGCGCGTACTAAGTTAGCGCGTACTTAGTTAGTTCACACTTGTATGGAGTGCCTGTTGCAAACTAATTTACCCTGTACAGATTATTTTAATCCTTCAATGAAAAGTGTCCAAAAAATTAATTTTGCAATGAAATGGGAAGAAAAAGATAATATGAGTACGAACTGAATTTCAACAAAGTCTTTGGTAGATTATCTTTGTCATGAATATTGAAGGAGGAAGATGAAACCTAGCATTCCATAGAAGTGTGAACTAAAATTCTTGTTTAGTCTGGACTTAGTCCCGGCTTAACTTATGAGAATATACCACCCATAGGTGTCAAGAATTAGAGAACTTGCTACAAAACGTTCAGCTGTCACATATGCGCTTATTGTGCATTGGTGTTATTCAATTTGGAATATTTTGAAAATGCTACATTTTACGAAAATGATCATAACTTTGTAGTTTTCGCTTAAATTCTTTTGAAATACACAGGATGTATAGGGGATACTAATATACCATTACTTATGAAATTTCATCGAGGATTGCATACTTTGCCAGATGTTGCCAACCAAAAGCTCATTGCATTTTTTGGGGACACCCTGTATAGCAACACAGTTATGTCCTCTCTATGTTCTGTTGTTTGGTGGGTAGATGGACATCATTTATTACTTATTGCTCTTTGGTATTGAATTCTTTGCCTTTTTTTTCTTTCCTTCTATTTTCTTTTCTATTCTTTTCCTTTTTTTTCTTTCTATTCTTTTCCTTTCCTTTTTTTTCCTATTCTTTTCTCTCTATTTGTTTTGATTTCCGAGAGAGAGAGAGAGAGAGAGAGAGAGAGAGAGAGGGGGGGGGGTAGGGGATAATTAGCATCTGAAATATACATTTAATGAATTTGCAGAATTTACACTCAGGTATTTTTATAAGTTTAGAAAACCCATCTTCTTTTATAGTTAAGAAAGTAGATGGTTGGTTAAAATTGGTATGAGATGTGCAACCATCAAAAAAGGTATTTACAGGCTTATTAGGGGACATATTATGCTCAGTGCTCGGTGCCAAAGAGTATCATTATTCATGGCGTCATTGTGAACATCTCAATGTGTCGCTGCGAAAGAGCAGGCATTTTATTGAACACCACAGTCTCATTAGTTTATCATGTATTCCTACAGGTTTGGAGGAGACTATGGTGTCTGAGAAGAACAAAACAAAAACGCTAGAGGATGAGAAAGCTTTTGTATCTGGCAAACCACACTCTGATCCAGAATTCAAAAGGTAATTAGATCAAACTGTGCTTTCACATGACTTGATGCTTGGTGTCAACTTTCAGGTTATATCACTCGTGAAAAATAGGAAAGACAGGAATAATCACGTACAGATTACACATGCATACACAGTAATATATGAAAATAATGAAATCTACACGAATGGATAAATGAATAAATGAATGAAGGAAGGAAGGAAGGAACTGAAGGAAATTACATTCAGAGCAGAGGAGCAAGCAGAAGGCTGGCTAAGATTATTTAAAAATATTAAAGGTATTACAAAGTTTTGGTATGGGGTCATGAATTTGGTTGAAATTAACATATTGGAAACATATGCAATCCTACAATATTCAGTGATTGTTGTCACGGTTGAAATCGAGTCTAAAGTGATAAAATTGTAAGTAATAAATTATTTTCGTTGTATAGCTCCCTCTCAAGGTCAAGATATTAATTTAGCTATAAAACAGTGTTTCTTGAGTAAAATCGACCGATCGGCTATTCCCGTTCGGAAATTATATATCACAACTACATATTCTGAGATTTTGATGGTCACAGCTACCACTGAAGGGCCGTAGGCGCTATTTGAAGAAAAAAAAATTGATATTCAATATTTCTCAAAAACAGAAGTGGTTTAGGGGCTAAATTTTCTAGTGCTTATAATACATCCACAGGGGCATCAAAATTTTTCAAAATTGTAAAGAAATTTCCCAAAACTTTGTTTTACCTTTATGTAGCACAGCAAAAAAAAATCAAGAAAATAAATATGAATATTACATATAGGGTAATGCAAGATAGAATTAAACTTATTTCAGGAATTAAGTATTTGAATTTTTTAAGCAAAGGGGAAGCTTTGTCATCCAAAGGTATATTTTTTTCTAAAGATGGATTTTGAAAACTGAAAAGTATCCATACAGTCGTACAAATGTGTATCAAACTGTCTTCTTTTTTTTTTTTAAATTGGACTAACTCATATGCCTTTTATTGTAAGAGTTTCCCGTGTTGTTCAGGCAAATTATTTTTTAGTCTATACTGACTTTTCAATGATTCAACAGTTTCTACCGGCTTGATTTCAACAAAAGAATATAGTATTAGGGCTAGGGTCACAATTGGGGTTTAGGATTAGGTTTGGAACTAATTAGGTCAGTAGATGAAATGTTTCATAGTCTACAACCAGTTCATCTACTACCAAATTGGTCTCTTCGCATATGGTCTACACCCAGCGTATCTACTGTCCACATTGTCTAATATTCGTGTTGTCTACTTATCATTTGGTCTCATAATCATTGGATGATTATCATTACTTATGATTCAATGATTATTAGACCATATGGATGAAATAAGAAATGGGCATTAGACAAACCAGAAATTAGTCTGTATATTAGACTAAATGAACAATGGACCAAATGGGTAGTAGACTTATTGGAGATTAGACCAAATGGCTATTAGCCCCAATGGTCCTTAGACTAAATGATCAGAAAGCGAAATGATTATTAGGATTCCATGACATTTGCTCCGGCGACAATTGCTCCGCTGTAAATTTCATACACTAATCGAATGGCTAACTTCAACCCTGGATTCAACACTATACCCTACCCTAAACCTAACCCTAAACCTAACATAAAACCCTATTGAAACCCTTACCCTAACCCTACATCTTAGACGAAATAAAGCCCGGAGCAATTGTCGCAGGAGCAAATGTCGTGTCACCGATTATTAGACGACATATAGTAGACGAACTGGTTGTAGACCAAACAGCAATTCACCTATGAAATTACAGTGGAACAACTCGAGGGTTCAGTGACACAAAGACTTAACTCCATATTTTGCCAAAATGAGTATTTGATATCAAAATGTTCAGAAAAATGTGGGCTTTCCAGGAAAACAAAGACTTAAATCCACCCAATGAAGTCAATGGCTAGTGAAACGTAGACTTAACTCCTTAAGGCCCAAGTGCTCAGTGACACATAAACCACTTGTTCTCAAAGTGGCCAAAATGGAGTTATGTCTTTGTGTCACTGACCCCTCAAATTGTAGTTGAAATTCATGTTCCTGGCTCCTAGGCTCCAGAGTCAGCTGGATGCAAGCCGTGACGAGTCGCTGGAAGGGTTGTGCCAAACATTGCGGCAACAGCTTGATCAGTTGCAGAGACAACAGTGGCAGCAACAACTGAGGAGGCAACATCCTTCTGGTGCCGGAAGGGCACAGGCCAGATTCAAATGGGCAGCTCAGGTATGTTAAGAAAATAAGTGTACTTTAGTTTAAGTTCTGTTGTTGTAAGCTACTTCCATCATTTTACCTCTTATTTTTTGTTTGCACTTTAAACAATTTATAAGAGTTAACAGCTGTTTGCCCCAAAGCAGACAATATCACTTCCCAAGAGTTAACTATAAAAAAAGTGTGATAGATAATTAAATTTTTAGTAGTCAACACACTTGAAATTCAATATCATCTTCTGTCTACTATCTCAATACCTATTTACAACCCTCTCACTTTTCCTTTTCACTGCATGGTCCCTATTTCATTTTTTTTAATGTACCTTTTTTTGGTAGCTTTATGGATTATATTCCTCCTTTTATCTCCCTTTGACAGCTTCATATTTCTCTATCTCTCCCTTCCTCTCTCTCTCTCTCTCTCGCTCTCTCTTTCTCTCATCAACTCTCTCTTTTTCTTGTGTTTTGTCATCTTGTGTCTTAACTCTCCATCTCCCCCTCTCCCCCATGACCGTAGCCGTCCATGCCCAGAGTCTCACCATCACCAGCACCCTCTTCGTCATGGAGGACCACCCTAAATCCATGCTCATCTCTTCCCTGCCCTCCAAGAAAGACTCCAACCCCAGACATGGATACCAAAACATCATCTACATCATCATCGTCGTCTCGCACCAGCAAACCAAACTTAGCAAAACTCACGACTGCTCTGAAATGTAAAGTGGAGGAGAATTAGAAAAGAAGTTATTCATCCAGATATGGATATGGAGTTGTCTTTGTCATCGCCACCATCATCATCGTCTCACTCCAGCAAAGGGAACTTGGCAAAACTGCTCTGATTTTCAAAGTGGAAAATGAGGAAAGAAATGTTTAAGAACTCAAGGCGTAAACATAAAGATATAATCATTACCGACCATTATCATCGTCATCATAATCAATGTGAGCTAGCTCCAAATTTTGTAAAACCGAAAATTGCTCTCTAAAATGCAAAGGGGAAGAAACCTCGTGAGAATTGGTCACTACTTCAAGCATGGACACCAAGTTGATGATGATCACCATCATAATCATCTCGCACCAGCAGACCAAACTAAGCAAAAATTTCAACTGCTCTAACATGAAAAGTGGAGGAAAGTTAGAAGGGAAGGGCAAATACTCAAGAGCTGGACATGTTCATCGAGCAAACAGCAGCAGCATCGTTCTCATCATCATTTCTAAATCATAACCTTGGGAATTTCTTGTTTCAAAAACAGTTTTCCCAACAGCTAAATTCAGTTTCTTTAAGTGATTGCTTACCTACATGTAAAACTATGTATTTGTTTTCTTGACATTTGTGTTTGTTTGATAAATAGCAATACTTCATCTTCGGCACTAGCTGGCATCAGAAAACTCACCAATATGCAAATTATGTTCTTGTTTATCAACATTAGATCATGAAAAATTAAGATTTTGTTTTTTCTTAAACAATAATTTTGCCTTCTTAGCAGTCAGAATGCTCCTTGCATTCCTTACTACCGGGTAATAATATTTTGTTTGTTAACCATGTGTAATTGGATTGGTTAATAATTGGTGTAAATAACTAACGTCCATTCAAAAAGAAATAATACACAAGCACAGGTCAGGTATGTTTAATGAATAAAAATCTTCTTTCATAGTCTTTGTGACTTTACATATCAATACAGTATTGATAATGGTATGCCTAACACATATGAGCATAACATGATAAAATAATAGTACTGAAAATGAATATCTAAGCATCTCTAAGATAAATATTGTTCTTAAAGTAAAGCCCCTTACAAAAACTAAATATTTATAATTGTGTTCAACAATTTATGAACAAAAGTTGTACAATAAGCTTTTATATCTTTTTTATTACACTTATAGTTTGGTTGATCATAAATTCATAATCACTCAATAGAACTGGGGGGGGGGGGAGAATTTTGAGATTAAAGGGAAACTGAACCAGAAATAGCACAAAATCCCCTCTAGCGCCATCTCAAGTCAACTTTAGCAGTACTGTCCCATAGTTAGCTGCTTCTCCAGCAGCCCTTTATGTTCTCGCACAAGAGTCCTCTGTCTGCGAAGTGGGAAATAGGTATCGAGTTACACACTGTTGGCAAGTTGACCATGAGATGGCGCCATGCAACAAACGTTACACTAGGTCAGAAAGTTTATCAGTTCAGTATCGCTTTATACCTTCATATTATTAACACTTACTTTTTCCCTTCAATGACTTTTAGAGACCAGCCTTGGGTCTGATTGTACATGTAATGTGCATACATATTTTAAAGGGACTTGGTAACATTGTCTAGATGAGAGAAAATGGTGCTAAGGTAGTGATTTCAAGATAGTCTTATGTCCTATTTTCAAGGAAAAACGGTTGGGGAAAATTAAAAAATGGTTGGGAGAATTTACTGTTAGAGGGTGTTGCATAGTGACACCTTCAAAGAAAACCATAAATATCTTTGTGGTTTGAGAATTTTCTCAGGATTTTTTGCCCGTTAGATGGTACAGTAGAAGGAATATAATAAATAACATTTCATATAAAAATTACAGTTTTGTCATCAACCTTCAAAAATGTTAAGAGTCACTTTAATTTTTGTTTGCTTGCTATGTTTGTTCTCTCCTACTGTATATGTGTAGTAGAAGTAGTCTTCAATATTTCTCCCTGCTGAAATTATGATCAGAACTTTATACAAAATAAATGTGTTCTACAACCAATCAACCTGGCAGCTTCTTCTCTCTCTGATTTCTGAGATTTTGTAAACTCACTACAGAAGTACAAACACATTTATAAATGAATGTATACATACACATATATCAAGAGTTCAGTGACACAAAGACGTAACTCCATATTTTGCCAAAATGAGTATTTGATATCGAAATGTTCAGAAAAGAGTGGGCTTTCCAGAAAACACAAAGACTTAACTCCACCCAACACCCCATTGAAGTCAATGGCTAGTGAAACATAGACTTAAGTGCTCCGTGACACATAAACCACTTTTTCTAAAAATGGCCAAAATGGAGTTACTTCTTTGTGTCACTGAACCCTCGACATAAAGTTTATTTGTTGAGTTTAACTGATATTTACAAGTAAATACATGGGGAACTTTTTTGTTATTTTATTAAGAGTCTGAATGTTTTCATCTTCATATGTTATCAGTAAGGTATGTTCAAGTAGTTAAAGGTTCCTGAAGATGAAGACAGTCTGCAACTCTAAATATAATGTTTTTTTTTCAATAACTATACTAAAAAACTGATGGTGTTGACCCCTACTTAACAACAGTTCAATAGCATTTAACTTGTTGAATGCTAAAACCTGAAATAGACTTTGGCTAGAGTCTATGGGAAATGTTTATTACCCTAAAAATTAAAGTGTTTTCAACAGATTTGACAGTGCAATACACAAAATAGGGTGATTGCATTATTTCTGAAACATCAGTTGACTCTGGAAGTAGTCCGAAAACTTTGTAAAATTTGTGTTTGACAAGGAATGCTATTGAGCAAAGCCTTGTTCATTAATAAATACATGTATCTGTCGGCATACCACAGATTTTCCCCTTTTGGATATTTATTAAATTTTCATAATACACAACAAACAAACAAAATCCCACTGTCCTTGTTTGAGAAAAAAGTTCAAACGACGAAAAATGTAAATAAATAAATCAAAAACGTAATTCAAAGTGTTTATTTTAGTGACACTGTACCAACATACATACTTGTATTCCCAAATACAAGGAGAAAAATGAATTAAAAATAAAAACTACATGCTACTTAAATTTGCTAGCAAATGTAATGTTTTGACTTGATAAATATAACTTTGTATGAAGACAGTGTCTCTGTATCCAGGAGCTTGCCCAAAAGGCTGCTGTACAGGTGTCTACAGGGTTGTCTACAACCTACCAACAACAAAAAACATCTTTATGAACTTATAAATAATGTGTCTGTAAGGGTTTTAATTCTTTGCATTTTCCTTAAAAAACTACTGGTTGTTGTAAGTGTCAAGTAGAGATTCCAATCTGTTCAGTGAGGATTTAATTCCTTACAGACTTTGGTCGTTTAATAGAACAAGCAGTGGACAGCCACAGTCGACTTTTGTCACACATACAGTCTCATGTACCATATACTCCAAACTACTGGGCAGTCTGGGGTTCTGATCCATGGCTAGTGAACAGTTAACAAGTGAAATAAAGTCATTTGGCAAGACATTGATCTACATTTGCCACACTCAACCCAGGTGACGTAAATGGGTACCTGGCAGGAATTAATTCCTTGAAATGCTAGAGCGCCGTTATAGTAGCCGTGCTAAAGCCAGGGTAATAATCGGGAGCACCAGGAGTGTCTAATCTGACAGACATGAGCGCTATACAAGAACCAACTATCATCATTATTATTATTATTAACAAGCGAAAGAAAGTCATTCCACTTACCCTCGTACGCTAGGAGATGAGAGAGAAGCACTCGGCACTGCCAGAATTTCTTGCAGTCTAGTAGCGCCTCGGCCAGTGCGATGAGCTGCTGCCCAAAGTCTTCCTTCTCCCTGGAGACTTCCAGGACAGTATGGCCCCATCCAAGACCTGTATGGATGGAGGGCAGGTAGTATACAGATATCGACTGCTATGATAGGAAATTGCCCGGGGGGTAATTGTCCCAAAGGGTAATTGTCCTCTAGGGTACTTGTCAAGGGGGCAATTGTTGGGGGGATTGTCATGGGGGTAATTGTCCGTGGGGGGGGGGGGTTATGTATTATCATTATTATTATTATGTATCAGTTATGTACTATTAATGCCTCTCTCTCTCTCTCTGTAAAATTGGTAATTGTGCATGGAAATTAACCATTTACCTAGAGCTATTACTTTATAGCATGTATATCCTTGTACCTTATAATATGAACATCTCAGTTGCCAGGAACTTTATCAAGGTGTTCAGTATCCAAAGAATTGAAATGTTCCACTTGATACTTTCTGAATGCAACTCTTCCCTTTCCCTTCTCTCTCTCTCTCTCTTTCTCTTTCTCCCTCTCTTTTATTTTTCGGTGGCAAACCATTATTCAATTATGCATTGTTTACATATGTATATACATTGTATGAACATGTTTTACTTATGACGAGGACGTCAATTCAGGCTTTGCTTATGACAACCCCTTTTTTCTATGTACGATGTTATGTGACCATGTTAAATATTCAAATACTTGTGATGATGCACATGGAAAATAAATGAACATCAATCAATCAATCAATTATCCTGAGGGTAAGGTAAGCATCACATTTATAACAATTACTGCTAAATTGGTTGTTTACATAATTCCAAATAGAATAGGGGTATGGCGCCATTTTGGTGGTGTGACTGAGTTTTAAAGCTAATCATTGGCAATCCTGTAGTTACCTTGGATGACCGTAAATGCCATTGCGGGATCAAAGTCTGCCAACACTCCAAGTACATCTCTTACAGTAGAGCTGTCCACTCTCTCCAGGAGACCTAGCGACGGATCACGAGGTGATGCCTCTGGTAAAGATGCTAGGACTTCGGTCAGAGGTAGTGTGAGATGGAGCAACATCTGAAGAATGCAATAGGCATCTTCCCTGGGGTGGACAAGGGGTGATGGCGGGTCCTGGACCTCCATAGCTTGGTTTTGGGTCTCTGCTGGTCCCGATTGGTCCTGGACCTGCATAGCTTGGTTTTGGGTCTCTGCTGGTCCCGACTGGTCCTGGACCGGCTTTGGTTGGTTCTGATGGGCTTGCTGCTGTTGTTCTTTGGCCAAGAATTGGGAGACAACAGACAAGCCAAGCTGGACTAGAACACACTCATCTTCATACTCTGGAACATGATTGCCTATAATGAATCAGAGACCATACTGATATATATATATATATAATGCTTGGTGAAAGTTCAAATTTATAGACAATGAAACACATTACATAACACCTGGCACTATCGCCAACCAAGATCACTTTGCAGCCTATACCATAATTCAGCATAAATTAGAGGATTTTTAAAAAAAAAATTAAAAAGAATTTTTGACACATGTAATACTGATTCTATTGACTGGGCTGTTTTGGAGAAAAAATAAGGGTACTTAATAACTCATTCTGACACAGCATTACTCTCCAAACAAATTTGGGGGGATATTATGGTTAGAGATTCATATCGTTCAACATTTTGTAATAAAATAGTAAATATGGATACTTTTACCCAGTTTTAATCATTTTTCCTATATAAAGTTCAATACAAGCACATATTCATGTGTACATGTATACATCTCACATGAAACCAGAATGATATTTTCCTGCAATGTAGCAAACTGTAGGAAAAATAATTGTAATGAAATATCATCAATTTTCTTTGATTCCCTATTCTCCTGCTCTCATTGAAAATGGTAGTAATGGCACCTAATCTAGATGAAAAAGGGTTTACCTTTTAGTGAAGCAGCTCGAAAACTAGCTGCAAATGCACAAAAGTTCTGAGAAGACTGGTTGCATGATCCCATCTCCAACCTCTTTTCAATCCCTACCACAATATGGGGTGTCTCCTTAAGGACGAACCTGATTTACACCACTCTAATAGCACCTTTCCTAGGATGGCCACATCCTCACACACCTAAAGAGCAGGAGGGGAAATAATGAGAATTCATTTATGTTGTGGTTTTTTTTAAGGGGGGGGGGCTTAACACTGAGAATTTCGAGACAAGCAAAACAAAAGTTAACAGGTTTTTCAGGCGAATACTGGATCCAAAGTAGAAAGAGGTGAACTTTTTTATGAAAATATCCATTCCAAACTTGTTACATATGCATATCTTCCCAACAATTACATCTACATACACCTTTGCTCTCTCAATGATCATATTCATAGAATTACATGTTATCATTATTCTTAGAATAATTATATATTATAACCCCCCCCCCCTCTCTCTCTCCTCCCTCCCTCCCTCCCTCCCTCCCTCCCTCCCTCCCTCCCTCCTCCTCCTCCTCCTCCTCCTCCTCCTCCTCCTCCTCCTCCTCCTCCTCCTCCTCCTCCTCCTCCTCCTCCTCCTCCTCCTCCTCCTCCTCCTCCTCCTCCTCCTCCTCCTCCTCCTCCTCCTCCTCCTCCTCCTCCTCCTCCTCCTCCTCCTCCTCCTCCTCCCATGCATTACATACCTCAATCAACTCTAGGGCTTCAGACAATGTGGATGGGGTTTTGAAGACAATCTCCTCCATCTCAAAATGATGTTCACTTTGCAGCAAGGTGGTTCCTTTGGCCTGTCCTGATGATACCGTCTCCTGGAGGTTCTTTCCACCATCATGGCCACAACCATCACACATGGCATTGGTGTTTTCTGTGACAAGAGGTGTCCTTTCCCGGGCCTGTATGTAACACATTCAGAGCATGGAGGAGAACATGGTAACTGCAAGCACACAAAACTACAGTCCAACCTGTTTTAGTGACCACCTGTCTACAAGGACCACATTTTTTGTTTCCCTTTAAAATTGTTTCTCATTGAGACATGTACTAAAGGAACCTGTCTACAAAGACCACTTTTTGTGTTTCCCTTGGGCAGTCGCTATAGACAGGTTTGACTGTAGAACCTAAATAACTTATTGGTTCATTCAAAATTTAGTAATTTGATTGCGACACTTGTTGACAGATCACTATGCAGTACAACTGAGTCTCTAGTCCAGACAAGAGACACTGTCACCTGACGGTTCTCGTTCTAGAATCATCGCGTGTACTATCACAGTCCACACTGGTGTTCTCTGCGATAAGTGATGTCCTTTCCCTGGCCTGTATATACTTTAACTCTTATCCTGCCATAATGAATACAGCCCAGAGCCACAGGGCTAATCCCCATTGTGCCAATTAAGCCACAAATCCCCCCTGTGCCAAGTTTATTTTGAGATAATCTGATGCATGCAATGGTACGATCAATAGCGCGTGTAAAGCACTCAGCACAGTACAATGCGCATGAACAATAACTGCTATTACGAATGCGAGCAAACATGCATGAAGCAGCGAAGCGGTAGCTCGTTCGCGTGAATTAAGCAACCAATCGATAGCGCGCTCGTGTGTACAAAACACTATAACGGTAGCGTGCATGCAGCCTTATGGCAGGATATGAGTTAATAAAGAAGAAAGAAAATGGGTCTGAATTATGACACTTGATAATAGATCACTTCATAGTACAGCTGAATCTCTTGTCTAGACATGAGACACTGTCACCTGAAAATCTCTTATTTGAATCACCACATAGAGCAATGATAATCTCTGGGATATCACATCCTTTCCATTGCCTTCACCAGACATTTCAAGTAAAGATAAGAAAATACTTCCAAGTGAAGAACTATATGACATGCACTGCCTAGAGTATTCACACTTTGTAAATAACTGTAATTTGGTAAACTTTAAAGGTAAAGACCAGTTTTGGAAGCTCTTATTACCAATCATGTGAAAGAATATGTTTTGACTAATACGTGATGATACAAATTTTGCCGAGAAACCGCCTACTAATTGATACATTTGGTAAATTATTATATCTATTTGGACCTGATAGATATCACGCACGTGTCACGCACATGTCACATAGTCCCATATACATCTTTCTGTGTACAGTGCTTGTAACTTTACCAAGACTGGGCCAAATTTCTTATCATTTTGATGATTCCAGAACCTTGCAGTGCACATCAATACTTATAAGCTAGATGATCAATCTTTTCTGATCGATTCCACAAAGTTTCTTTCACAATGCAATCGCATGACCATAACTGGTCTTTATCTTTAACCAGTGCAGTTGCTTGAGAATGCTTCAACAAATGTTTAATTGTATCTTTAGCAGGATGATATCACTGTACTTACCATGATTTCTGATGGTGCATAATAGTTGTGATCATGCGATACTGCCATGTAGCCATCAAGACCAACAAAGTGTCCCTTTGTGAACTGAGGTGTTGTGCCGTTGGAGTTTCCAATGTTGCTGTGTTGATGTTGGAATACACCTTGTGGTATTTGTTCAGAAAGATGAGGATGCAACGGCACTGAAGGGGTCTCAAAGACTCTTGGCTCCTGCTGCTGATCAAACACTGGGATCAGCCATGGTCTAAGGTCCTTGACACCACAGCTGAAGTTCATGTTTGGGATATGACCGATTCCAAAGGGTGTTGTCACGATCTGAGGGCAGAAGTTGGAGGGATGCAATGCCGTGCACGACTGAAGGAAACCATGCATACCAAGTGGTGTCTCGAAAACTCTTGGCTGCTGCTGCTGATTAAAAACTGGGATCAGCCTTGGTCTAGGGTCCTGGACACCACAGCTGAAGATCGTGTTTGGGAAATGACCGATTCCAAAGGGCGTTGTCACGATCTGAGGGCATGAGTTGGAGGGATGCAATGCCGACTGAAGGAAACCCTGCACACCAAGCGGTGGTGGGTTTCCAGGAATGGGTACAGAATGACGTTGCCTCTTCTTCAGGTTCTTCCTCGTTGCTTTCCATTGCTTTTCATATTCCAAGCCGTGACATGATGCATTTGAAGGGTTCAATGGGCCAGGACACTCCTGCACATCTGGACCTTTGGGCATTAGCCCTACATTGTAGATCCTGCTGCCTTTTTTATCCCTGTCTGCCTGACTCACCAACCAAGCTTCCTCTGGAACGAAGCACGCCCCAATCGTCAAGTCCTCCTGGGCCTCGCTGACTTGCCAACGGCCGTCCAGACCATTCCTCCAGAGGATCTTCTGGACGTGCCACCATCTCTCCTTGGCACTCCATTCTCCCATCGGCATGAAGACGTTGCCAGTGTTAGACTCAACGACACGAGAAGGAAGCCACACCTCAGCTGCAGCAAAGACGGTTTTCTGCCCTCCTGGGTGGGGGCACGGGATGACCACCAAAGGTCCTCCATGGTGAGGTAGCTTCAAGCTCTCCTGAGCACCAAGTCTTTGATACTTCTTAGACAGAGACTGAAAAAAAAATAGAGAGAGCCATTCGTCATGTTGTTTTTCTATCTATGCTGACACATCCACTACAACAGGAACTGTGTTTTCAAAGAATTAACCATCCAATGGCCCCAAAAGCTACTGATTTTTCTGATCATTTGGTTACCCGTCTGAATTACATCATTATCCTCTATGGATCTATACCCCAGACTACCACTGTACGAGTGACTGCAAAAAGGATGTTACTGCCACAAACGATAGGTAGCTCTTGCGGCCTTCTTTCGGGCAGCCAATACTATATATATATATATATATATATATATATATATATGTACACTATACACTTATGTGTGACAAAAGTTGACTGTGGCAATCTACTACTCTTCATTCCTTTAGTAAAACATAAATGCCTGGCTGGGATTTGAACCCTATATCCCTTGTGTCCGATGACTTATCCACTAGACCACAACACCTCTACAATGTTAACTGAATTTCAACACCACAAGTGATTATTTGCCATAATTCTAAGGTGAAAACTCTCTTACCTTTTTTCTTTGTTGCATGTTTTGAAGATTCCTTCTCTCTAAATCTTGGGTAATAATATCACCATCTGTAAACCAATAGACAACATGACACAAACTGACTTATCTTCTGGTTCTATATGATACAGAACAAATTTTGACATGAACTCCAGCCCAAATCAATGACAATCTCTATAATTATCACCTCCATGTTGTAAATGCCCTGAAACATCTGATCGGAATGATTTGTAAACACTTTTTTTAAAGTTAAGTGGCAGTAGCAGTGAAATAT